CAGGTGGCTGTCATATTCCCCTTGCATAGTGTGCACAAACAGAGAGATAAAATTAGCACAGCGCTGAGCATTTGGTAACTGGATATGCAGGCGCAAGCACAGCTTGTAGCCAGGCTTCCCTGTATAGAAGCCAGGACTGTGTATCACTACAGGTCTCTCTTCTTCCTGGGCTTTCTGCAGTCCACTGAAGTTCTCAATCTTCCAGATATAAATACCAGTACATTGTTGTGCCTCCATTTCAGTAATCTTTCCCTCCAAATTTCGTATAGTACGTTTGAGTTCAGCCATGTGAGTGTTCTGAGTCTCCATTTTAGCAATGAGTTCCCTGATTTGGTGATCTTGTCTCACCAGACGACCTTCCAGCTGCTGAATAGTTTCCTTGAAGTTTTCAACTTCTGGATTGCAGTTGTATGCAGCATGTGACACGTGTGAGAAGAGGGTAGGCTCAAAGGGTATGCCATTGAGGAAGGGTACAGGATTTGCAGCAGTAACACTGATATTCTGAAAACTCTGAGCCATCATCCTCATGTGAACCTGAGTGAACTCCTGCATATGTCGTGCCAGTTCATTCCTTTGCATCTAGGATTTAAGAGACAGAGCATTAGGAACACATCAAACGTCTGCAATCACATTTTAAATGTGGCTCTGAAGAAAATCAAACAAGGAGTTGCTTTTGTCATGTGAGAAAATCTGCAGTGAATCAAGGACAAAGGTGTGACAAAATAGCGCTTTATCAATAGAGAGCTCCAAATTTGAGATCACTGTTAGGAAAAATTGAAAAAGTAGTTCAAATACCAGTGGGCAAATCACAGAATCATTTAGGTTGGAAAAGACCTTTAAGGTCTTTGTGTCTTTGGCCTGATGTCAGTACAGCTGGGGTTCAACAAAAGATATGAGGTGATTTCAGCATTAAATTGCAAACCTGAGAAGTTAAGATAGAACTGACATAAATGACTGCAATATAAATCAGATATGTGCATTATTGTTTTTGTTGCCATGGGACTTTGGGATGTCACAAACATATTCTTGTTAGAATATTTATCATTAGCAACAGGATATTGTATAGTTGCATGATTCTATGTAATGTTTAATAAGGAAACCTTTGATTGCATTTTTACAGAAGCTGCAGCATCTCCAGGAAAACAAGAAAATTTAAATTCTCATGTATTCAGGGTCACCTTCTTGTTAATGAGCATTCATGATAAAAAATTCAGGTTTTGTAGAAAACAAAAAAATTGGTTTTCTTCATAGAACACTAGGAGTCATAAGTGTACTTGGTCACAACTTTGTAAGAAATGCCAGAAGCTACTTTTTGACATGAAAGTTGAGAAAACATGAAATAATAAAACCAAGGTCATCAAGCAAATTGTTCACAGAGCTTTTTAAATTTGAAAAAGCAATTTTGAAATGCAAAGTATCAACATGCACTGCTTTAGAATTAGGATACCTCCAAACAAAAATCGCACAACCACACACCATTGAGGATTTTGGGTTGGTGAATGAGACCAGACTAGGAAAACACATTACAAAAGCAATCAATAAAATCATGCAGAAGGTCTGCAATTCAGAAGTTACTGAAAAAACGCTTACCTTTTCAGGACACCCAAAGGCACTGTAAAAACATGGCACTGGGGCAGTAGGACAATCATTGTCATAATGGTTAGGCATCTAAAACAAATCAGATTTGATATTACTTCTCCACCGAGAGTATTTTCTTATCTAGAAAGGATACAGCTGGATGGTTTTTGAACAGAAAACTTCAAAATGTACCTGAAGTCAGATCAGTTTATATCTACATAAGTTCTTAACGGAATATGGAAGTTTTGAACAGAAATGTTAGCTGATGATACAAATTATCCATCCCACATGTATGTACTGTAACAATTCATTGGCTTTGTTCTTATATTAGGCCTCAGAAAGTATTCAGGTTTCCTTGCCAGACCAAACACTTTTTGTTTCTAGCCTACCCTCCAGCCAGGTCACACTCAATTCCTTCCCTTCTGAAGGACTACTTGCACAATGCTGATTGTGTCACTCTTTATTATCATCTTCCTCAAGAAGTTCAAGTTACTTCTATTTTTTTGTGGTCCACGTTTTCCAGATCCAGGATTAGTCATCTCACTGCTCTGGATCCTGCCTATCCACCCTCCCCCTCAAAAGCACAACAACTTCAGCTGATGCCTTATGAGCCCTAAACAGAGCAAAGGATAATTCAGTGTTTCACAGGCCGAATCCCTGTTTATATAACCCCGGGTGTTTGCCTTGTTTAAATATCATGAGGAAGCAAAAGGCTAATAAAGACCAGCTATTATTACAAATGTTTAGCATTCTTTGTTCCCCACTTCTGCAATTCATTATTCTACCTAACAACAGACTTTTCCCTTTGTAATTACTAAGCCAATCCTGTTTCTCAGAGTATTTTGCAATTTTACAAGATCATTCTTTATTTTAACCCAGGCCATCAACCTAGTTGCCATCCCAAATTAAACAAACCAATATTTATCATTTTCCTGCCAATTAGGTTATTATTGAACAGAAGAAATAATAATGGCTATTACAACAGTAATGGACAAGCAGAATTCCAGCCAGCATCCCAGTTTGATAGTCAATTTACTTATAGCACTTTCCAATAGTGGCTTTCCAAGTACAAAAATTCCCCCCTCTGCCCAAATCAAAGCCTCTTCTTGTAATGTCAGCCACTGGCAGTTGTTGGTATTTTTTCAACTCCATTCAAGATCAAAGACATGCAGCATGGCCCCTGTCAAGAAGCAGTACAGCTGAACGTTGTGATGTGCAGCCAAAATCCTACCGAGGTTTGCCAGACTGCAACTGCAAGCTGCAGCAGCATTTAAGGGAGAATCACACCTGCACTGGACATTTTCAGAGAGGCAAGTAGGGATTTAGCAGCTAGTAGACAACCTGTATCTCCAAGTTTAATTTCAGATTAAAGAAGCAATGTAAAAACGAAGCATCTGACATGGAATAAACAGAGGCAAAGGGAGTTTCTTACCTGCTCCCTGATGAGCACCGTGTTGCAATATTCGCAATATATATTGGCAAGTGGGCAGGTCTGGTCATGAAGCTTAAGTGATCAAACAGAAAAAAAACGGGGGAGAAAACATCAGTAAAGTTACTCAATTTAAGAGAGGGCTAATCACCCATGATCAGATATAAGATTTTTATTTATACCTAATTTTGCAGCTGTGAAACAAAGAGAATCCCTTTACCCTAAACAGTATGATTTACATTACTGCTTTTTCCTGGACTTATAGAAGAGATTCATGAAGCTGTAGATATTTTATTTCCTAAAGCTCTTATGCTTCAAAGAAATCTGATTTTAACCATGAGTTTCTAAAATTCATGTTCAATTGTACTAGAAATATATGAAAGCACTTGTTTGTTTTTTAATTGTATTGTTGGACTATATGAGGTACATCTGATTGACAATTCACAATATTAATATCCAAGAACATTCAATAGTCATTGAGATAAAACACATTCATATAGAGATAAAGAAATGGTAGCAGCAAAAGGATTGTCCTCAGTATCACCTGAGTGAAAAATGCAGAGCCAGGAGAAGAATTCAGAAATTATCTTGGTCTTGTGTGGTAGCAGATATCCCCAAAATAGTTATCTCCTGGTACATCCTCTCTCCCAGGCATAAAAACTGCACATGCAAATACTGCTTTTTGTGTTCCATGGGCAGTAGATACAGCCTGTCTGATGGTAAGGTCAGAAATCAGTGGTTCTTACACAAGTCCACAAGACTCCTCACACCACAAGGTTCCACATAAGTTTGTTCTTAAGGACAATCTCTCCCCAGCTTTTGCCTGTTCTAGGCTCACGTTCTGAGTTTGCAGCTTCTCAGCTGTGCAGCAGCACAAAGAGCTCTTCTAGACCAAAACCTTTCAGCTGGTTTTCTTTTTTTTTCTTTTGTTTTGGTTTTTTTTTCTTTTGTGGTTTTTTTTGTTTGTTTTGGGGTGGTTTATTTTTTGTTTTGTTTTTTTTTTTACTGCTGTTCCCTTTCCAAGCAAACCCATGTTTGCAGGCTGACAAACTGAGATTCCTGCCAAATACCTCTTTATCTTCATAGGCCATAGACGTGGCACAGTTTGGGCAACACACTTGACGCCTCGGACACTCTTGGGTCATGTGCTCCTTCAGACGGTTCTTTGGGAAGGTTCCTTGGCACTGTAGGCATTCCACAGTGGAAAAATCACACTGCAGCTGGTGGTCCTGCACAAGGGCAGAAGAGGGATTTGATATTTCAAATCAGAACAATCACCTCATCCATTTTCAAGAGAAAGCACAGTGCAAGACAAAAGAATCACAATTCTCCCTTCATGCAAGGAAATCCTTATACACTTATGCTGACTCTACCAACAGCCTGTTACTGTCCCACTACTAAGGTCAGGGCTTCATGCATTCAGAGCTTTAAGAAAGCTATCAGTAAAAATTTAGTTTTATATTTATCCTTTTAACTGCATATATTATTTTCCAAAACAATTATTTCAACTAATATATGCAGCTACTTTGAGAGACTATTAAACTGACTTTAATAAACTTGTGTGAAGCACGGATATAGCTGATCAAAAGGCAGACATGAATGATCCTCAGCAGAAAGTTGCATTAGTACAATTGTCATGCACTGTGATGTTCTCTTGAGAATCACCTAACTACAATTAAATACTCACTAAAAACCAATATGTGTAGCTATAGTCTTGAAAGAAAAATGCACCGAGTCATACTGCATAAATGAGAGGTATGACCATCTATTTAAGTTATTTCAAATTTTTACTTGCCCATGAAAACAAGGTTCCATATTTTCAAAACTGCTTCTCACCTCTAAGTGCCTGAGCTCCATCTTCATGCTGCAGCCCTTGTTGGGACATTTGACCATTAATGAAAGGATTTCCCGTTTGGCAAAGTTGTCAGGAAAAAGTTGATTTTCAAGCAGAATTTCATTGTCTACAGGACATTTGTGGCCTGCATCTCTACAATGCAGAAAAGCAAGGAAAGATATTCCAAAATTACCAACAGAATTCCAAGCACTTAATTTAAAATATTTTTACACCAGCAAGACATTAGTGGCCAAATAATAACACAGTAAGATCTTTAAAAACAATGGTGTTTATGTGGCAATGACCAGAAAATATGAAATGTATTTCAGAAAAATTGAAAACACACAGTTTCACTGGAGGTGGCATTACTGGAGGTTGCAGCACTTTTCAAACTCAAAAACATTTTATTTGTACAAACGGCATGTTAAGTACTCTGGAAACAAACTTGAGGAATATGTAAAGACACTAAGAACTTACAGTCTTTTTTCTGCAAGTACTTCACATAGCTCAAACATCAAAGAATATTTCACATACTACTTCAAAACAATTACTCTCATTTCCTTCTCATTTTATAAACAGCCAAGGTGATCACAGCTAAAAAAAAAAGCAAAACTGTCTTTTTTTCCAGATTGACTTCATCTGTTTGGCACTACATTACACACTGCTCAGTCTGCTGGTTTTGTTATACAACCATTTGATCAGTTGTTCACCCAGCAAACAGGGTGAAAACCTTCAGACACAAAAATTGTTAGTAACTATGAAAATTACACTGGACTTGGAATTGAGTGTTACATCTGAAGCTATTTTAACAGCAAACAGACTGGAAGTCAGTGCTAACTGGTGAAGGTTTGGAATCTCATGGAAGATGGATGCCTGCAATCTCCACAAGGTAACTAACAGCCTGTTCCAGTTCATCAGGTTCTGTCTACCTGCGTGTACGTACAAAAATCATTAGAAATAGAGTAAAAAAGGGGATCACCTCCAACAAACTTTCCAGTATCAGCTCATTCTGAAAGCAGTAGGCTAACATATTGATTCACAATTAAGTAATGCAGTTAAAGAGGCATGAGGGATCAAAGCTCCCGAGTGCTAATGGAAACAGCAATAAAATGGAGAAAATACATGGGGTGGAAAAATGTCAGAGAGCGCTTGTGGTGCAAGGATCAAAGGCCAGATCATTGTCACTGCCTGCAAGCACGAGAGGAAGTAGAACCTAGTGGGCTGTGGAGACCAGGAAGGAATTTATGTTCTTTGCTGGAAAAGGAAATAATTGCTCAGCAACTACATCAGCAACACTGCTACAGGAAGTGGAGGTAAAGTTGCCACTTCAAAAAGAGGTAATGAACTTCCTTTCACAATTTTGCTTGCAGAGCAAGCTCACCACATGCCTGAGAATCATACTCCTAAACAAGTGCAAGAAAGAACTAGCTAGCTTGTCTTGTTTCAGAGCTCCCTGAGCTATGACCAGTGTGATCTTTGTCACAAGCTAGAAATGTTCCCTCACTTCACAACCTACAGGAAATCAGTTTTCACAGGTATAGCTTGGTTACAAACACGCTGTTTAGTGGAGTATGAAGACAGCTCAACAGGTCTGCTGATAAGACAGCAGCTTTATTTCTACAAAGAAAAGTGAATCATAAATAAGAGCAGCCAACAACAGATTAATTTGGAATAATGATTACCAAATCCCCAGTTTAAATAACTAGTAGATAAAGGGAAAAATAGGAATGAAATGCAATTTTCCAAAGTAGGAAAGTGTAGTAGGAAAAAGCAATAACTCATTTTAGGATATTAAACAGGCTTCAAATACTATTTACAAGGCTCAGGATTGTGTTTAAAACACTGCTAAGATCCATCTACAAAGATGTTGCTATATATTTCCTGTGACAGAATTGAATTTATGCACCTCAGTTCTAGCTTACATTACAGTGAAAGCTTTCCTATGCTGGAATAATTTATCACATTGCACTCTGCCACTCACAACAGTACTGGTGAAACAACAGCCATCTGCTACAAAGTACAATGAATATTCCTGTAAACTCCCTTGAGATTAAAATACAGGTATCAAGAGTAAAGCAAGAATAATTTTGAAAGAAAAGCCTGCCCAGTGATTTTAACAAGTGAGCGGTTTAGCCGACAAGCTGAGACAGTTGGCAGAGACTTTAAGTGCAGCCATGCCAGCTGCTGGAGGAACTGCCAGCACCCAAAGATGTCCCTGCTGCTCCTTGTTACCTCACAACTCTGCTTTTCCAATAAACAGAGGTTCTGATATTTGGCAAGCTCTACTACAAACCCTAAATCAGCTTTGCCCTAAGATACAGGAGAAGACTGGAATGAAATTGAATTAGCTACTGCACCTGCAGTTAGTTCTTCTAAAATTTCCAGCAATATATTTTGTTGACAAGTAACATTCGTAAACACATTTGTAGTTACTTAGGTAGATAAGCTTCTCCTCTTCCATGAATTATAGCACTTCAAAGCACTTCAGACAGCTTTATTTAAAAAGCTGCCAAGACTTTCTGGGAGGCAAACAATTACTGTGATCAAATCTCATCTAATCATGTCCTTCACACTGTAAGACTGAAGAGTCCAGTTTTTAAAAGGTTTTCCAATTTATTCTTTTCTAGTTGCAGCCACAACTTCTTCAACACAAGCAACTACAATTGTTTGTGTAAGTCACAAGAAGCAATTACTCAAAAAATGCTTGTCCATTCTTCATCATTTAAAATCCATAATCTCTGTGTTCACTTGAGTTAAGACAGTGGGGAAATAAGGAATAAAGAGAAGCAATTTTTCCTGGTCAAATGAAGGCTGTGACAATCAGTGAAAAAAAGCAGTACTTAGAGAATGTAAAATATCCCTTTCTCTTGTCATTTTAGTTCTGTAGAAGCTTCTCAATAGCTCAATCAATCTGGTACTGTAGACAGTACATACTGCAAATCAATACCATACTGCAGACACTACATAATCCAAATCAATAGCTTGATCTATGGATACCAATTAAGCATGCAGTTCAGCCCTGCAGGGATTCAGAGAGGTCTGGCACTTCAAGCTGTCCTCCCTGCTTTAACAGTCACTCAGACTGTCCTCTAAAGAGAGAGTTCAGTGGGGAATGAGGGAAAACTTTTAATAGCAATGAAACATCTGGAATATTACACTGATCATCTACAGTCTCAAAAGAAAAAAACGCTTTCCACCTTGTTTAGTATTCACTGAAACAGTCATCACTATTCATAGAAATGAAGTAAAATACAGAAAAGGCATAAAAGAAGCAGAAATTTCTAGTCATGGTCCTTTCCATGGAGAAATTCTTCCAGAGAATTTATGTAGCAGAAACTACAGAGAAGCCACAAAACACTGTATTCAGAGAACATAACTGCTGGCATACTATTCATTTAGAGAGCTACAAATTATGGATAGGGAAGAAAAAGAAATGGAAAAGAACTATGGACAAATGGCATGAAAGACAAATCAAGAAAGCACTGTCCATGTTGCATGCTATAAAATAAATGCCAGGGCAAACCACAGTAACAATGAAGACAGTTTAATGATCTTTATAAATAGTGTGCAAAGTAAGGTTGAAAATGAGCCAATTCTACATATCACAGAACTGAATATATAAATTCCTAGCAAAGTGACATTTGAGCTATCTGAGCAATTGCTAAGAAAAAAACTGGGCTTATGCTGAGAAGGAAAAATCCTATAGCATAATATCTATCAATGTAATCCAATACTCACTCACACGTGTGGGACACTGATGACTTCATTCCAGGCTTAAGGCAAGTGCTCTCTACGAGGTACTCTCTGCCCTTTCTTGCTCTTTCAATCATCCATTTTTATAAGGCCAGCCTGCTCTTGCCTTTGTATCTTATTCCTTGTCCCTCATATGCCACCTGGTTTCCTCTCTCAATGCTTTGTTCAAAACTATTCCCTCATCACATTCTCTCTTCCAGCTCAAAAAGGAAGCAGCTAATTTCAGAGTGAAGAATTGAATGCATGAATTGCCTTATCTGCAGCAAGAAATCAGGCTGTCTGTAGTTTCCTGTAGTTATCAAGAGAAACAATCATAGGCAAAAGACAGGTAATTTTATGATCCTGAGCTGGAAATGGAATTTATTTGGGGGACATGTCTACATTTCCTTTTTTAATTACTATTTGAAGTTTAATCGATTTTTTAGATTCATAACCTGGGTAATTTGTGAAAATGGCAAACTGTCTAAAGCTCATAAAACTTCCAAACTTGTGATATTCTGGCCATGTACAGCACCTTTAATGAATAATAAATTTCCACAGTTCTGTTAGCATTCATTGGGCAGCTCTATGCAGTTTGGATTGACCTTAAACCGCTCTGGTACACGAATTTCTTCTTAAAAACAGCTTCCACAAGTTTTCCTTTACCTTATGGATTTGACAATGCAGCCTTTGCAGAAACGGTGGCCACACGGCGTCTGCACCGCCTCCCGGAGAGCCATCAAGCAGATGGGGCACTCGTATTTACTCTCCAGCGGCGGGTCGAACTCCACGTCGTAGCCCTGCGTCTCGTCGGCGAAGGAGGCGGGCGCGCTGCCGGCGGCGCCGGGCGCGCTGCCGGCCTCGTCCTTGGCGGCGCTGCAGGCGCTGGCCATGGCCGCGCAGCAGCCGCCCGGCGCCTCGCGGGCCCCGCAGCTGCCGCCGCCGTGCAGCAAGCTCATGGCAGCCCGGCCGCGGCCACACGGCTCTGCGCTGCGACACGGAACAACAGAAAAAACACCACGGGTTAATTTGGAGTGGTTCGAACCCTCCCCTCCCAGCCAAGGACAAAATTTATTTCCGACCAGAAGTACTGGAGCAGATTTGGTTCTGTTCAAAATCACTGGGTTTGTTTTGTCCGCATTATCTTTTTTTTGCTTATCTTGTGATATGTAGGAAAGGACACTGCATCAGCATAGTCCAAACACCCCCCGCGCTTTCTGTAATCTCTTTCATACGACTGATTTCTGTAAAAGAGGAATCATTCCTCTTTGTCCTTGCTACTGGAGATGTTTCTCTATCCCTTCCATACGATTTACTTCTAAAGACATTCAAATAGATTTTGTGTGGAAAAAATGCCGTACAGAATCATGTTTTCTTGGAGGACAACTGCTCAATTCCATATTTTCCTTGCAGTGTATATATGTTATTTAGTATTTTCTGTATTAAGAAATTCACAATACAGATTTCAAACCGACTTAGCTGCAGGAACACAAATAAAATATAAGTCCAAGTACCTAAACCAAGCAGCTGATGTGCTGTAAATGCAATTCAAATATACAGCACTGCTGATAACATTTTAGAACTGCCAATAGGACTTTAAATTGAGTAAGAAGCTACACATGAGATAAGGATAATAATTCCACAGCTCAAAAGCTATCTACAAACTATTAGTAGTCAAACAGAGCTCTTGCTCTCCTTTCCCTCTTGCAGGCCAGCTGGCAGGAGGACAAGGGACAGGATTGTAAGAACAGAAGATAAAAGTCACCTTTCCCTGAAGAGTGGTGGATGGCATACTAAAGACTGCTTTTACAACTCTCCTCCAAAGCAGGGACAACTCATAGGTATCAAATGAAAAAGTGCAGCTATCTCCAAACAGATTGCTAGTGCTCCTACACACAGTAAGAGAACGTTAAAAAAAAGTCTTAACAACAAATACAAATTCTAAAGACCAAGAAACCTTTCTCTCCCCTGATTTTTTTAATGGTTACAATCATTTTCTTAGAATCCTGCTGTGGTTAGTTCTCTATAAATGACATTTCTATGAAACACAGAGATTATCACCAGGTGCAAGGTAGTATGAGTAGTCTGAGGGTTATGGAGCCAGGCATGTTTTACATGCCCAATAAGCCCAGATTTGATAATGTTTTGCACAGCAGTATAGGCAAAAGTCTCTCACAGTGTTCACCTAATGAATTCACTGTAATACCTTTATGTCATTTAAAATATATTAGGGATGGAAATCCAATCAAGAGACGAATCATAAGAACTGTTTATCTGCATCACTACTGCAGATGCTAAAGGCAGAAGAATTAATAGGATTACCTTGACCATGAACTCGCAAAACTGAACGTTTTCTTGCCTATATCAGAATTTGAATATCACAACTCATTTTTACAAAATGTTCATGGATAGGAGGAGGACATATGGGTAGTTTTATTTGGGTATTTATTTTATGACGCCTTTAATGTCACAAAATCAACAACAATCACATAAGGCCTCAACCAGCATGTATGGGAAATATATTTTAAACACATGCAAAAATCACAGGAATGTGCTTTAGGCCATCTACATGATAAACAACTGGCAATACTGCCCATGATAGCATACTATGAGCTATTTTTTCCAGCTATCCAGACCAAAAAAAGAGGTATATGTATCTAAAGAGAAACAAAGTTACCATATTTTGGTTAGATATAGTTAGAATAATCAAACTAGAACTTTGTATAAATATATACTCTGTTGTATAAATATACACTCTGTTGTATAAATATATACTCTGTTGTATAAATATATGACTTTCCACCTGGTTGGGGTATGCAGGGGTATGAGAAGTATCTGAAGAGCAGCATTCTTGACATTTCCAAAATACCATTAAGGTACAGAGCCTCAAAGCACAGGCTCACAGTTCTGACTTGTACTGAACTAGCCAGCAGTGCTCCTTTTCTGCAGAAATAACTCCAGAGCGAGCTGTCTGCAACTGCACCCAAAGAGCGCTGCTCACTTCCACTCCTGTTTTCCACCCCAATGTGTTGTCCCTACACATTATCCACCACAACAGGCTTTATAACTGAGGCCCTGAACACAACAGCAATACCAACTAAACGCCAAGCATGCTCCCAGCAGCTGCTCCAGCCATAGTCCAGACACAACCAGTTTAATCCCACAAAGACACCAGCTCCCCCAGTGATTTAGAATGGATGCAGAGGAATCAGTGCTCAGAAAGATGCTCTGTATGACAGAGATTTTTTTTAGCCTGCCATCAGTAGATCTACTCTCTCCAGAGAAGAAACCCAGCTTGTTTCCACTGTTAACTTATTTAACAACTGCTGCAGAGGATGATCAGTCCATGGGCCACATTTCATGAAAAATCACAGGAATAAATTGGGTCAATGGAGTGGGAATGTTGGTATGCAGGATATTAGAATCCACAGGCCAGCCTAGGACTGAAAAATTCACATTACTCTAAGCCACAGAGATATATTTAGTGAGACTAAGAAAGGGAAGAGGAACATACATCCCTTTAGCAATGTCACAAAGGAATTCAGGAAGTCACAAAAAGAAGTATAAAACAGCTTTAGTCAAATTCAGCTGTCACATTAATTGCAAAGAGGTGTGTGACTCCTCTTGGGCTGTTCCCAGGGAAAAAAATCCCATACTATTTACAGTTCTGTTCTTACAAGGAGAAGCCAGGATCTGACTTGGTATAATCTCACTAGTTGAACCTTTATAGATTTAAGTGCTATGCAAGCAGTGTCTTTTTGGCCATTTGAATTATTTCTACAGACACAGCAGGTATGTATATTCAGTCTACAGAAACAACTGCCATACTAGAGTCAGTTTAATGAATGAACCACTGCAATAAGTAAACATCCCAGTCTGACACAAAAACTCCCTTATTCAGTGATATACTCCACTCCTACATGGAGCTTTTTATCTGCATATGACCAAGTGGTTCACAAAAAAAGAAGTGCACATCTTTTTAACTTGGGAAATTCAGACACAAAGAGACAACTTAAGGTGATTAAGAGCCAGATTTTAAACTTTGTTCATATTTTATCTAAGACAGGAGTCCTCCTACTCCTCTTATCCATTTCATCTTCTCTGTGAGCAAAATCCTCCTTCCTCCACACATATTTTAGGTGTAGGGCAAGGCACAATCTTCCAAATCAAAATCCACACTGCTGTTACTCAGACAATTAACCAAGGCCTTATTACTCCACCATAGTTTAAACTAATTTCTCTACATGTTGTAACTCCTGCACAAGGAATCTACTTTACCTCTGAGAACAGAACATAGGTTTAATCTTTTTGGACAGAGCAGTGCTAGGACAAAACCAGCCACAGAAAAGTGTAATTTGCATGGTAATGACAGGTCTTTACCCCAGTGAAGGTAGAGCAGACAATCTGTGAGCTTACTGTAGCAGTTTTTCACTTTCCTCTCCTGGGGAATTAAGAAAATGCTTAGGCTGGAAAAGGATAGATTTTAAACACCAAACTAGGATGCATCCTAAAATTCAAATCAAGCTGCTCCCCTTTGTTTTTAATTATGAAACAGGTTGCCAGTGAAATAAAACTAAGATCTCCCAAAAAACACATCAGTTTTATTTCTTATTAATAATAGATGCTATTCTTCCTCTGTACTGAACAAAACTAATTCAAATGCAATTACAACAATATCTAAATATTAATTTAAAATACCTTGTGTACACCACAGCCTTGAGAACTTATCCTTTTTTAAAATGTTAGTCGTTTAATACATTAAACACTTTGCTAGACTGCTCTCTGTACCTTTTTTTGTTTCCACAACATCCAGCTTTCAGATCCAGGAACAACAGCAATTAAACTGGATCATTATGTGATAATTCTTGCTTTTGCTAGCGTGAAGTTTCTAAGACAGAGGAAGTCTTAAACTACATTTGGTAATGTACCTGAAATGCTCTTTTGTAGAGCTAGGAAGTGCTGCCAGACCTGCTGACTGGAGATAATGGGCTTTAGCTTGGGCTCAGAGGTACCCAGGCCTTGGGCTGGCAAAGGTTGATTTTGCTCTCCAAGGCAACAGCTGTGTTGTTTGCCAACAGAAAGGAAGGTGCTTTCCATGCCAAGTGGTAATGGACAGAACTTGTTTGATCATTACCTGTGCTGCAGAAGTCTGGGAATGCCCTAAGGAGAAACTATCATGCCCCAGAAAACAGTTAAAGGACAGTTAAAAGAAAAGGAGTCCTCATCCCACTCTTCCAACTTTGAATCATAATTACACCTTTCCTAACTAACCTGTGCTCTGTTGCTATTTACACTGCTACATTACACAGTGATTAGGCTGATGTGAGATAGCACTGTCAGACCAGAAGAGCAAACTCCTGCAAGAATAAGGTATCTTATGATGGACAAAAACTACTTCAAAACAGAATTTAAACTACCCATATTTTAAATTAATGCATACAACAAAGCTCAGTACTCTTATTTTTCAACTCCTATAGTATAATGAAGTTTAGGTAGGACTTACAGATTTTCAAACACCAAACTCCTCTAAATAATAAAAAATCACTGGTATCAGAAAATATCTTCAGTTTTCCTGTAAAATCCCACTATCATTAAGAGTATTAGGGAGAAAGTAAAAGTAGGCATTGTATACTATTTACACTGAAATACAAAATCCTATTTTCAAGCATTAACTTAAGGAATACCGTGCAAGGAAGTATGAGTTGCTGTAAGAGAAAATTGTTATTATACATCAGGAAGTGCTTAATACAATTAATTTCCACATGACCTCTTCTGGAAAATTGACACTGACTACCCTTATAGATAATGAAACAACACAGAAGACTA